AAATTAAAGGTGTAGTAGTTGACTAACACACTAAAGAGTAACTAGTATTTTGAATAAGCACACCTCTTGAATACTGTGATCAAGCAAAAATTATCCTTATAGAATCATCTTTAGGCATAGAATAAAACTTTAACAAGTTTAAAATATTTTGTACATTGGATTCCACTATAATAAAAATATATTAAACAAACGCTATTAATGTAACCATTTAGAAGAAAACTACATGTTTTACGACAGCTTTTAGACCTACTGTAGAGCACCACCATTTTGGAATGCCACAGTGTCTGATGTCAAGGGGGTTGGTTCTGTTCCCTCAGCTGAACAGATACAGTGGAAGTAATGGACTAAACAAGGAGACTGTAAAGCCTAATTTAACCCAATGTGTTAAGTTGTGGGTTTGGAGCTGGTGCAAGCATCAGATGTTTCTCTAATATAAAAAATATATATTTATCCTATTTTTCTTTTTTCCCTTTTAATTACCGACCACAGGTCTAAAAGCTATAGTAAAATATGTCATTTTATTCTAAAGGGTTACATTAATCAAGTTTGTTCAATTTAATTTCATTAAAGTGGAAACTAATGTACAAAATAATGTAAACTTGACTGACTGCTTTACTTTAAAGCTGGTGAGTGTGGTCCAAAACCATCAAGACTGCATGTCAACAAACATACTTTGTGAAATCACTTTTAAGTAAAGTTTCCACGTTAGCCATAATCTCTCAGTGTATTAAATAACGTTCCTTGCAGTCAAATGTTTTGGAATTGTTTTGTGTTTTCTAGCACTTTACATTGCATTGCCTCACAACACACTCTGCAGTTAGGATCGACTTGGAACTTGCTCTCATTAGGTACGTTGGTGGGAGGCCCATTCCTGCAGGATACAATATTCATGCTTGCAGTAAAGAACAAAGGTATGAATGGAGTTCAGCAGAGAAGTAGTTGGAGGGAGACAACTCATCTGAATATCTCAGTGGGCACACTTCATCAAGGCCTGCATACACTGCATATACCACATGTGGTGGTTGTTGGGAACGCTAAAGATATACTTGCTAATTTATGAGAGGAGAAATAGCTTATAAGGTATGTAAATACATTGTAGACAGTGGTGCGTCCTACAACTTTGTGCATTATACAGAAAAAAAAAGGGGGAAAGTTTGAACTTTGTAAGAATAACTGGCAGGATCATACCAACTAAATCATATCTATATTGGTAGGCTTGAGAATTGGAGCTGAAGGCATGGGAACAGTATAAGACTGTATCTATTTATTTGAATCACACAAGCAGAAATGATGATCTAATAATGTAATTTAACCCTTTGGGGTCTGAGGTGATTTTGGGGCCCCTAAGATATTTTGACATTTGTGCTTAACAAAGTACTGGCCGATATGTATGATTTTGTATTCAGCATGAACTGTGCTACAATAATATGTTAGAAATATTAATGTATATGCTTCCGTTTTTTAGAAAAAAATTGTGTTTAGTAGGATTTGGAGAAAAATTTTTGCAGAATCTAAGTCCAAAAACCACACTTAATGGCATGAATACGACCTTTGAATAGCCACAGTTGTAGGCTTGAATATTTACTTTACAATTATGTAAAAACTATTCTGTTCTCTTATTCAAAGAAAGCATTACAATGATTTACATTTTGCAAAGTCGATTTATGAGACAAAAGACACTCCCCTTCTGGTTGATGTTCACTGATGAAGGGCATTTTAAAGCAGTGTCCAGCTGCAAAAGCTAGCCCAAACTAAATGCTTGCTGTATTATTACTATGTAGAAACTAAGGGTGCGCTTTTACAGCATGCAAAAATTATAAATACTTGAAAAGGTATAAAACGTGTTTGCAAAACTATTATAATTAAAATTTCTAAATTTAAAATTAATTTTTTACATTTTTTTTAATTAATAATTTCTGAATCATTCTGAGACATTGAAGTAGCGTATTATGTGTGAATACAAATAAAAGTATTGATTGATTTGTTGCTCTTATCTGTAGGATCTAAAACTGAACACTGAAAGTGTAATTTAAGTTCTTTTCAGCGTTATCAGAAGATGCCTCAAACCGCTTATACGCGCCTGGAGACCCCAAAAGGTTAAACATTTTTTTGACACATTTTTTTAAAAGAGACCCCAGGGTTTTTGTTAAATTACATTCTACATTCAATATTGCATGTACACACAGAAACACAAACCATTTGGAATGGTCATCATGGAGCTACAGATGGGGATATTGTTTTTCCTTAAGTAATTCCTTGTTCACAAAGTCCCTAATATTTTAACTACATCATTTATTTGGAACCCCACAGTTGAAGCAAAGCAGCATGGTTGCTTTTAAGAATAACTTTATATCAGTCATTTGAGGTCATTTACAAGCTTTGACTTAAAGAAAAGTTCAAAAATTACAATTACCTAATCATTTAATTTCCCTCATGTAGTTTTAAACCCTTATGGGTTTCTTCTGTTACTGTATAGAGACACTCACCGGCCACTTTATTAGGTTCACCTGTCCAACTGCTCATTAATGCAAATTTCTAATTAGCCAATCACATGGCAGCAACTCAATGCATTTAGGCATGGTCAATATGATCTGCCGCAGTTCAAACCGAGCATCAGAATAGGGAAGAAAGGTGGCTTAAGTGATTTTGACTGTGGTATGGTTGTTGGTGCCAGATGGGCTGGTTTGAGTATTTCAGAAACTGCTAATCTACAAGAATGTTCACGCACAACCATCTCTAGGGAGAAAAACAGAAAATATTTAGTGAGCAGCCGTTCTGTGGGCTCAAATGCATTGTTGATGCCAGAGGTCAGAGGAGAATGGCCAGACTGGTTCGAGCTAATAGAAAGTTACAACCGAGGTATGCAGAAGAGCATCTCTAAATGCACAATATGTCCAACCTTAAAGAGCCCATATTATGGGTTTTTGAAAATTCCCCTCCATGTAGTGTGTAACACAGCTCTAAGTGAAGTGAAGTATCCAGCTAAGGCTTAAATCTGTAAGAATACAGTGTTTAAAACGGTTGATTCATCTATAAAAGAGTCGACTCATAGTGCTTCAAACGAGTCGCCTTGATACCGATTCATTAGGTGTTTCGCCATGACGTACGAACGAAACCAAGTTATTCACGTGCACGCGCAAACTACATGCTACAAAGAATACTTCATCAGCGTTTGTTAAAGGAAGGATCAGTAAAGAGTAACTTACTGATGGACGTCAGGATGGATTTTTCTTCCTTCATTTCTCAAGTGTAAGTACGTGCGATTAAAGTTGCCTCGTTGACTCTAGCTTGCAAATGTATTTAGTTGTGATTTGTTACTTGTAACCGCGTGTACTGTATCAGGTTAACTGGCTATATTCTCTTATCGCGTGCAAAGTCACGTTAAAAACGCGACGCGTGCTGCTTTGTTAACGGAGCTCCGTGGACGGGGAGTAGTGTGTGTGTCTGTGTGTGCGTGTGCGCGCGCTGTCGTCCGGAGGTGTGTGTGTTTGTGTGTGTGTGTGTGTGTGTGCGCATTGTCGTCCGGAGCAGGGTTAAGTGCGTGTGTGTGTGTGTGTGTGTGTGTGTGTGTGTGTGTGTGTGCAATATGCGTGTGTGTGTCTGTGAAAAGAGCAGAGTGAGAAGCTAAGAGATCTCCTCAACTGTTTTTGAGTTTTTGCTCAATAAAATAGTTAGTTGTCTGTATTTTCAAGTCCATAGTCTGTATTTACATTGACCCACTGGCAGCTAAAATCCACGCCTACACTATCGAGCGTGAATGAACTGTGATTACTTTTATATTGCTGATTAGCTGTTTGGCATTTCACTCTCTGACTGAAGGCAGTCGACCAATCGCAACAGACTGTCATTGGTCCAATCAGCGCAGATTAGCTTCGCGCTAAGGAGGGGTTTGGGAACAAATGAATCACTGGACGATTCATACAGAAGTCGCTGGGATAATTAGGTAAAAATAAATGCAGATTATAAGACCACGAAAGTGTTTTTTGACCTTGCATGCATATTAAACTGTTGTTGGAGACCCTTACAACCAAGATATGACCCTATTTCATGTATTATATGGGCTCTTTAAGACGAATGGGCTACAGCAGCAGAAGACCACACCGAGGGCCACTCCTGTCAGCTAAAAACAGTAAACTGAAGCTACAATTCACAGAGGCTCACCAAAATTGGACAATAGAAGATTGGAAAAACGTTGCCTGTTCTGATGAGTCTCGATTTCTGCTACGACATACAGATGGTAGGGTCAAAAATTTGGCGTCAACAACATGAAAGCATGTATCCATCCTGCCTTGTATCAATGGTTTAGGCTGGTGACAGTAGTGTAATGGTCTGGGGGATATTTTCTTGGCACACTTTGGGTTCATTAGTACCAATTGAGCATTGTGTCAACACCACAGCCTACCTGAGTATTGTTGCTGACCATGTTTGTCCCTTTATGACCACAGTGTACCCATCTTCTGATGGCTATTTCCAGCAGAATGACGCGCCATGTCATAAAGCATGAATCATCTCAGACTGGTTTCTTAAACATGACAATGAGTTCACTGTACTCAAATAGCCTCCACAGTCACCAGAACTCAACCCTAAAGAGCACTTTTGGGATGTGGTGGAACGGGAGATTTGCATCATGTGCAGCCAAAAAAATCTGCAGCAACTCCATGTTTCTATCATGTCAATATGGACTAAAATCTTTGAGGAATATTTCCACAACCCTCTTTGATCTATGCCACGAAGGATTAAGGCGGTTCTGAAGGCAAAAGGGCATCTAACCCAGGTACAAGTAAGGTGTACCTAATAAAAGTGGATTGTGAGAGTAATTTGTTAGAAACAAACAATGGAAGTCAACAGCTCACAGCAACCAGTATTTTTAAAATATCTACTTTTGTGTTCAACAGAAGAAAGAAACTCAAATAGGTTTTGAACAAGTGAAGGGTGAGTAAATGATGTAATGTATTATACTTTTTTTGGTGAACCATCTCTTTAAGAAGCAGGTGAGATGCTTTTTTTTTTTTTTTGCTTAGCCAATCTATTATTGGGAAAGCATATGAGAAGGTATATCAGGGGAGGTTATTGTTTGACCTTTCTGTGCAGCAGGGATGGGTTGAGCGGAATATGACTGTGGTTTAGGTAGGCGGGAATGTTTAGGCTGCAGGGAGGCATGAGACCTGGGCAAACTGCTCTCTATCTTTCTGAGAAACAGAGACTGTCTGTCCTCTTGATTTTGTCGGTTACATTTTGTTTCTAGATTGGTAGTGTGCATGCTAGTCTGTTGGGATGGGTTAATGTAATGTAGTCCGGGAGCTGATAAAGGTTGATGTCTTGTTCTGGGTGGACCTGTGGCTCCCAACCTACCCAGGGCACCGGTGAACACACTGACCCGCTGTACTTCCTGGGGCTTGATGAGTGTCGAAGCTCTTTTAATATAGCTTGGTGGCTGCGGGCTTGAAAAACTGCTTCTTTTAAAAGGAAGTTTTTGTGTACCGTTCTCTAGCTTACAGCAAAAGCTGGCAGAAGCTGGTAGGTTTGCTGGCTCATTGATTTTGAGCCGGCTGCTTGTGAGGCCGAGCTCAGCAGGTTCAGAGCTCTGAAAAGTTTTGGAAGAGGAGGCAGCAGTGCTATCAGCAGATATAAATACCGTTGGCGCTATACAATTAGGGGTAGACGCAGCAGCGATGGGATTTTGTAGGTCTGAAGAGCTGGGCTGGGGTGTCAGTGGGTGGTTACCAGGGTTGGCATCCAAACTGTTACAAGAGGCATCTTTACAGGTTGGTCTTGACAGTCCATCATGGTCATCGAGCTTGTTGGGTATGAATCTGGGAGTCTGTAGTATCTGAAGCTGTTGGAAAAAAGAGAGAAAAAAAGACAACAGTTAAATGTTAACTTGTGTTAAATTTATAACTTTAATATTAGAATGTTTCTTCAATTGTGTTACTTAATTTATTACCATAATTATATTGATATAATTATATTGATATTAATAATTAGAAGAAGAAGAAGAAGAAGAAGAAGAATCGGTATGTAAGGCACTAGATATTGATCTGTTTTACACAATAGTTCAAATTAAAATTGGACAGCTTGACTGAATAATCAGGAGAAAACAATTCTCACTGAGATTAACTAGATTAGAAAATAAAAATAAACTAGCCATGCAAATATGTTGTAGTTATTATTAAAGACACTTTTTATTTTACTGTCAAATGAAAAATGTAGATGATTTACAAGGAGAAGAAGAAAAAAGAGGGGGAAAAATAAAATTAACTCATCTCTTGTTTTTATAAATACATTTTTAAACAGCTTTGCGAGTACAAACATGGGGTTCTTGGTTCTTTGCCACAGTCGCCTCAGGCTTTTTCCCTAGGAGATTTACGGATTATGTGGAGCATTTGTAGCAGCTACTTTATTCAACTTTTTAGAAGTGGGTAATAATCATGACAACTTCATCATAATCTTTAGCAAAACATGAGTAATTTTCAACCACAACAAGAATAAGCATCACAATAAGTTGTTCTGAGTTAGTAACCACTACTGAAGTCATTGCATTTGGGAACAGACATGAGGTTCTCAAGTTAAAAGTGTACCTTGGGTCCAAGGGTCAAACAACAAAAAATAAGGTCAAGAATCTTGGTGTGATTCTAAAGTCAGATATCAGTTTCAGTAATCATGTCAAAACAGCAACTAAATCAGCACACTATCATCAGATACCAGAAAATCAGAGCACATCACACCTGTACTCGGTAGGCATGGGACGATAGCCATGTTCAAGGTATAGCGAGGTTTGGAAAAGTTAAGGTTTTAAAACCGTTAAAAAAATTTCTATACCGTTACTAAGGTATAAGTAAGATTTTTTATTTACATTTTTTAGGACAGCAGTATCTTCAGTAGAAAATATCTCCAAAGATGCCATTTTAAATAATAATAATAAAAAAAAATCTGTTTTAAACAAATGAAGAGAACAGAAGTTAATTATTCATTTGATTTATTTAGCCTGACATGTTTACTGCTCCAAAAAAATAAATAATAATAAAATAAATCCCAAATTAAAATATAGTGTGTACAAGGGTTTTTTTATCCAGACATTTAAAAAGAATATATTGTAGAGCAGAAATCACAATACCTGGATACAGTGAAACTATGATATTTATATCCAAGGTTATCATACCATCAGAATCTTATACCAGCCCACTTATACCGGTCCTCAGGTCTTTACAATGCATGCATTTTGTTTGTGTTTACATGGTGTAACCTGTAGCTGTACACACAGGGGAATTATTCACCTCTGTAACCTGTGTGACAGTCTTTTTTCAGAACCAAGGAGAGTACTCTCATGTGCATGACAGAAATAAGATTTTAAAAGATTTATGTGACAAAATTTGGTAGATTTCCTCCTATTGGGGGTGGAAACAATTGGTCCCATTCACTAACTGTGTACAGGTGGAAAATTTTAGTAAGAAGTTAAATCATGGAGTATTAATGAAAACACAAATATGGGTGTTTGTGTGCTTAGTGAATAATACCCAAAATCATTTTGATCTGACATCTGTTTAACAATGCTGGTCCAGTAAATCTCACAAAAAAAATGGCAAAACTGGCAAACGTGCTGAAAAACCTTGCGCACTGCCACCATCAGCAGTCAACCTTTTCCCAATTCTTATTTTATTTTAATATGTTCTCCATGACTGCTTTGAAGTGACAGTTCACTCAATAAAAATACTCACTATTTACTCACACTTAAATGGTTCCAAACCTTCAAGTTTCTTTGTTCTGTTGAACAAAGAAAGTAATTTTAAAAAAGTTGAAAACCTGTAGCCATTGACGTCTATGGTTGGAAAATAAATACTATGAAAATCAATGGTTACAAGTGTCCAGCTTTCTATATAATATCTTCTTTTGTGTTCAAGAGAATAGTGAGTAAATGATGAAACAATTTTCAGTTTTGGGTGAACTATCCTTTCAATATTCCATGGAAATGTTGGACAGCTCACTAGCTCTCAGGATGTTATGCACAACCGATAATTTGTTTTACATGAAGCTGTTTTAATTTAGGCACACAAGCCAGAGACTGAAGTACCAAAGACTGAAGTAAACTACAACCCCAAATCAGAAAAAGTTTTTTTTTTTTTTTTTTTTAAGTTGAAACAGTAAAGCATTTACCACTTTGTAATGTTGCCATTCCTTTTCACAACACTTAAAACCATCTAAGGACTGAAGACACAAAGTGATGAAGTGTTTCAGGGGGAAATTTGTCCCATTCTTTCTGCAAACAAGTCTTTAGGTATGGGGTTCTTTAGTGTCACATTTTGCACTTTAAAATACGCCACATATTCTCTATTGTAGATGAGTCGGGACTGCAGGCAGGCTAGTCAAGTACCTGTATCCTCTTCCTTTGCAGCCATAACTTTGTAATATGTGCAGAATGTGGTTGAAATATGCAAGGGTGCCACTGGAAAAGTTGGAAAAGAAGCATATTGTTTCTCTGGAACATCTGTATAATCCTTCTATTCCTTGGTCAGAAGCAGATGGCATCCATTTCTCCCAAATAATACCTGAAAAATGGATTCATCCCCAGTACATGTTTCCACTTGCCTTTCAGATGTCTTTAAGCCCATGTGATGATATTGTTTATAGATGAATGACTATACTTGATGCAGCGCCGCCCTTTAGATTGGAGATCACAGCTCTTGTTCTTTACACACCGAAATTCCTCAAGATTCCTTGAATCTTATAATTATGTTATGCAGTGTTGAAGGTGAAATATCAAAATGTCTTCCTATCTTTCTATGACAAACATTGGTTTTAAACCATAATATTTTAATAATTTTCTCACTTATTTGTTGGCAAACTGGTGATCATCAGCCCATTTTTGTTCCTAAAGGACTAGACCTTTTTTAGATGCTGCTTTTGTACCAAATCATAATCACAATCACCTGTTGACATCACATGTTAAAAATTATTTAACCAATTTACCTGATTACTAGCCCTAAATTGCTCCTGTCCCAACTTTGTTTGGAATGTGTTGCAGGTCTAATTGACAGGAAAGGATGTATATTTACCAATGAAATGAAGTTGACCAAAAAAATATGACATATATTCTGTTCATATTGTCTGCAATGAAAAACAAGTCAAAGTAAATTTGGGAATCATTATTTTCTATTTTTTTATTTGTGTTTTCCATACCGTCTCAAACTATTTCTGATTTGGGGTTGTAATGAAGACAATGACCTTAGTAGTTATTTTAGTAAGGAATTAGCAGTGGGATAGTGAGTCCCGCATTTCAATTAGGAGGTACACAGAACCCACTTTAGACAAACGTAACAGACCAAAGCAATCAATAGTTAAATATTCAAAAAAGACTGTTCACAGCAGGGATGGCATAGAGCAGTAAAGGTGCTAATACCTATTAAGTTTACCTACAATCTGACTGGTGTGGCCTGTCTTAAAACTTGCGCCGTCTCTTTTCAGAAAAGGCCAGAATAGAGCATTCTGATTTCAACTGTATATGAAATCAAACTAATCAAGTGTCTCAAATGAATATCTGTTCACATAATGTTAATGTTTATAAAAAGCCTGAATAAATTTTATCAAAAAGGGTGTCCAACAAATGTCCATAGCAACTCCATCATCTCTTCTGTTCACAAATGAGCGTAAGTCACAAACAACTCCAATATGCTTTCTTTGTTCCTCTGGAAGTATGTCCTGGTCCACAGCACCATCTAATGGATATCATCATTTATACATTTCACTTTTTTGTGCTTGTTAAATTGTCTGAACCTTTCTCTATGCCTGCGTGTGCCAATTTCAGGCCCAAGAGTTATTCAAAATATAATACTTTGAAGTTTTCCACAGTCTATGGTTTTTAATGGACCAGACAGAACAGTGAGAGGTTGGTCTAGAGAGGTGAAGTCTCAATTGTGGCAACCTTAGAACACCTACAACCCTGTCAAAACTTCAGAGTCTTAGTTGAGGTCTGTGGGGCTCTCAGCTGTTTCATACATAATTTATGACGGCTCACCAAGAATTAAACCAAGGCAGCTGAGAAAAGGTGATAGAGTTCTGAGGCAGAAGAAATCTGTGGTGGAAGGGGAAAGTAGACGCAGAAAAAAGGAAAGAATGAAAAGTCGTGGAGAAAAAAAAAGGTAAGCTTTGTAAACTAAGCAAAGTGTAAACAAACCATGAAGTTTTACACAAATGATTTCATACTTGAAAATGTTTTTTTTTCCATTAAAACTATTGCTGATACTAAGAGCAGGCTGTTTCGTGTAATTCTCACATGCTCACACCTAAATTGAATTTTAAAATTGATTAAATACAAACCCCAACTACATCCACCTGTGCCTAGCATTCAATATTTTTTTTAAATGACTATTATGTGTATTTCTAAAGGCAGAAATTAAGAAAAAAAGCATCAAATGTCAATGACAGTTTGGTCTAAAGAGGTGTTCATATGGAAATGAAGTGTGAGAAATGAACTTAATAATTATTTCACCTCACAGCCCATGTACACTGTGTTCCCTGGTTGTACAAAAAAAGGTATGACGGATGAGATTGAAGCTGTTGAATAATTAGACATATTATAATAATAACCAAAACTAACCAATTTTCTTTTTACATGAAAAGATGGAATACAAAAAGAAAAGGTTTTAGTAATACAGTGGACATAAAAAGTCTACACACCCCTGTTAAAATGCAACGTTTCTCTGTTGTAAATATATATATATATATATATATATATATATATATATATATATATATATATATATATATATATATATATATATATATATATATATATATATATATATATATATAAATACAATTATTTTTTAACTTGTCCACCTT